TTAAAAGGCACTTATCGCTAAATAAAAAGTATATGAAAGCATAAATTATACTTAACTGACCACCCTGTGAGATGAGTCATGTGTCTAGTCTCCCAAGAAGAATGGTGTGTTTCTCAGACCCAATAGAGATAAGTAGGAAAATAGACACACTTATCAAGTGATAGCCGAGCATCACAGGCCATTAAAGTGAACACCACAGCCCTCCCTTTACCTAATTCCACAGCTTTCTTCACCTCTAAGGCACTCTGAGACTACTCATTTTGATTATTTCCTCTGAGTCAGAACCCTCTCCTACTTTCTTCTACCATATTTAAGGATAAAAGAGCTTCTCTTTATAGATTTGTCATGGCTCTAGACTTTGAAAAGATTTGTCCTAACATATAATAACTTATAAAAATTAATGCCTTAGGTTATATTTCTAGGGCTGGACGACTTGTGTGGTCTTGTTAAAGACAGACAACTTGTTTTGGATGTCCAGCTCAGGTTCAAGTCGTTTAGGCAATGTGACTGTGAAGGAGGTGGTATCACTTTGTGAACAAAAAATAGGTCTTGCATTTTGATGAACTTGAGTCCAAATCTTGGTTCTGCATCTTACTTGATGAAGTCACTTAACTCTTTGACCCTTAAACCTCTTAAGTGAAAATAGAGATAATAATAGATAACTTTGAGGATGAAATGATAATTATATAAAACAACTAACAGAGTGATTGGTATAAAAGTTAACACCAATATTTGTTATTCTGCATATCAACTTGCTCTAATATTTTAAGTAATTCACACACACATGTATAAACTAAAATCTTATTTTTTTACTTATGGTTTTGCTTGATTTAGAATTTCCACTAGACTTTTACAATATTATTGTAAAATTATAACTCCTTTCTGCAACTTCATGATTTCATTTAAGACTATTTATAATTTTAGAATGTTTTCCAAAATGTTAATTGGTATACTTTCCACATTTCTAATGTTTTGAGGGGGGTTATTTTTTAGCATTTTACAACCATGAAACAAATACAGAAGTATTTTTTTTAACCAAGATCATAACATAGCTGGCATCTGTAATACAGCTAAAATACAAGTGTCCAAACTAAGGGATAATACTCATATTAATAAGTAGCTCTATCTCTCATGCTAGATATGACCATGTGGAATGTGTAGTTAAAAGTGAGATAAAATTTCAAAATCAAAATTAATATTATGTTATTATACTTCTCATTTTCATGAGAATATCCTACTGTTTTTATATTTGTTGCTCCAGAAGAAAATAGAAAGATTGTAATAAAATATTATTATGTTTTTAAGGAAGCTTCTCTATGCCAAGCACTATGGTAGATGCTAAATACACAAAATTTTTTAAGAAAGAGAGGAGAGAGGAAGGGAGAGAGAGAGAGAGGAGAAGGAGCTGGAGAGGGAAGGTAGGAGGGAGTGAAAGAGAGAGAGATTCTGCCTTCTGTAGTGTGCAACAGATAAAAATACTAACAGAATGGGAGCCAGGCCTCAATGTTGATGTGGGAGTTACAGATAAGCAAGGCTAAAACTATCCACGTGGTAAAGAATTAGAATTGAAGGCATCAGTATGAACTTATGTTTAACTTAATATAGATAAAGACAGTTACATATAGAAAAACTTTTCATATGTGTACATACAAGTATTAGTGTACACACATGATTACCTTGCTCTATTAGTTGAGAGGACCATGGAGTAATGACACCTCAGCAGCAACAAGCACACCTGGCCCCCAGATCTTGGTTTCTATTACCATTCTCCAATAAAAGGAACCAAAACTCCTTGGAGAAACAGCTTATTCTAAAACAGGAGCAGGAAACATATACGATTAGCCAGGAACATCTTTTAGTTCCAAAAAGTAAATAAGTGTTAAAATAAATAAATAAGTAAAGACCACATGCACAATGATGGGGGCACATCACATGGACACAGGAGCCAACTGAAAGAACTCCTAACGGCCAAAGCTGGAACAATCAGAGCAAAAAAGAAAGAAAGAAAATAGTATTGAATTTTGAAATAAACATCTATAAGTGCATACTGATAAGAATAATTGACTAAATAATTTGAATAAAGTAACTAGAGGAGGAAGAGACAAATCTATGCAGAAGAATTTCACATAATTCATGTAGCTACTCTGCCCTCCAGGAGGGAAGCAAACTGCCCGCTCCTGGGATGTGGCTGCACATAGCGACTTCCTTTCAGAGGGTACAGTGTGGGAAGCGGGGGGAAACGTGGTGAACACTACCTCAGCCAGGTGGCCAGGGTCAACATCAGCAGTCATAAGTCATGTTGATCAAATGTACTCTTGGTATGATATGATAAAAATGGCACTTCACCTCTGTGGTTTTCCTTCCAAAACTTCATTATCTCACGGACTTAAGATAATTTTATATAGATGCTATTTCTGATGGTTCTCCCATTTGCTGTTCTCTCTCTTCACGTGAGTCTAGAAAAATAAACAACCTTTTGGGCATCAATTGTATGAGTAAACCATATCTTAATGACCCATATATACTAAATTTACTACCTGGAATTACCTTGAACATTTATGCCTTGTGTGATTTTTTTTCAAGGTGTTCCCTGCACTTTACATGCTTGTCTCCCTCATATTTTTTCTAAATTCATGATCATCTTTTACGGTTCACCTCAGTGAGAGCAAGCTTCTCATTTCCCTGAGTGGCCATGATAGTGTGTCCCTCCATTATCTCATGGGCAAAAACAATTTTTTATAAGTGTCGTTTCTAGATGTTTATAAACAGTGTTGTTTGCAGACATTTTTCCTATTATAGGGTCAATATCCTGGCCCCTCCTGCTCTCACACAGTGTCTGACATTCATTCATTTATTCAACCACTTATTGTGTGCTTGCCATTCAATACAGAAGGGAGAAAGTTATAGAGAAAAATTAACAACTAAATACTAAATACTGTGGGGAAAACTTTCTAAGCCAGGAAAGCTCTAAAGAAAAATGAGAAGAAAAATATTGATACAGGTCAGCTTTACTGAAAATATTAACAGAAACCGTCTATCACAGAACTGATTTATTTTTCCAGCCAGTGTATATGTTTCTAAGTTAAAGGTCTGTCCTCCACCACTTTGCCCATTTTATGTGACCTGGGACCCCTGTGGTTTGTATATAGAAAGTTGGTAGACTCAGGGTGAGTAAATAAATCTAAGCAATGTTCATTTTCAAAAGGAAACATGAAGGAGCAGTAAGAATTTAGTGAAGGAAATAGACAAAAACTTTTTTCATAGCAGAGGTCTAAAGTCCAACTTGCAACTGACATGCCACTGCATGGATTCTTAGGAAAGAACTTTCTTTGCTTTTGAAACTTTCTATTAAAACAAACCTTGCTGCTATCTCAGTGTCTACATACATTAGATTTATTCCAAATACCGTTTTTGTGTTGCTCTTATGATATACTTGGTATCTGATTTCCCTAGTATAGATTAATTTAAATAACAGTTTTCAGAGCATCAGTACCAAAATATATTTTTCATTACCCTTGTCAAACAATTTCTGATGGGGCTATTTTAAGCTGATATTGTGCTCCATTCTCTTCTGAGGTCTTTCTTTCCCAGAGCCAGGCCTCCTGGCCTTTCCCACTGAACCCTCAAGCTCTGTTTACATGTCATGATCCATTCACCCCCAGAATGCAGGAATAACTTCTGACTTTAAACAAGGATATAGGATGCTCAACCCAACATTTTTTTTAGTTCCCCCAAACAATTAACTTTATGAAAACTAGTTCTTTCTTTCATACCACTGTTTCAGAAGCACAGAAAGCTGTTAATATTAAGATTTCATTATCTATTTCTAAATTGCCTTGTGGCTTTATTGTTTTCTTTCCAATGCCTTCTCCTCTAATCTGTCCTGGCCGCTCTCCTGAATGCTTCCAAACGCTTCCTGAAAAGCCTGTTATGCCTCCCTGATGGTGCACAGGTAGGGACTGACTCTGCCACCTTATTAGAGTCCCCATCCACTTTTATTAAACTCTAATCCATTTCCATTTTTAATAGTAGGGCATACTGAATCTATTAATTTTCAAAATGTTTCATATAAAATGTAAGATTAATATTGAAACAGTATATACCCCATGAACTATTAATATGACTACAGATTTTAAGATCCCTAGTATGGTAGTGCCCAAAGCGTCCCAACATGGCATCAGCTCAGGCAAGTTCAAATCCTGGCTCTGCCACAGATTAGGCAGCCTTTGGCATTTTTTCTGGATCCCTTGCATCATTCATCTGTCCAGGTATTCTCTGTGGAGCATCTATCGTGTGTCACGTACCAAGGCTCAGTGGTGAACGAGGCAGCGGGAGCGTTTCACTAAGCTGACCCTCAAATGGGCTAAGTTTCCTCATCTTTAAAATAGAAACAGTGATGCCCATCTTGCAGGATGGTAAAGATTAAATGGCTCCTCCCACGTATGCCTTCTCACCCCTTCTGCTCTCCTGCACCACCGCTCCCTTGGCCCTACAGGGCGGTCGCATCAAGCTTCCCTGCTGAAGCTCCTCAAGGTGAAATGGCCTTTTCGAGGCTGCCTGTGTGGCCCCTGCACAACCAAGTGAACAGTGCCCCTGGTTCCTGACACACCATCCACCATCCCCCAAATGCCCAGGTTTCCCGCATCCACTGGCTTTTCCCTCCCAGGTGGTTATTTCAAGGTGCCCGATCAGAAGGAAAGGACACAGCATCTCCCTGTTTATGGGAGAAAGGTTTTCCTCTTCCAGGTAAGTTGCTGGGAGATTCCTCATGCATTGTTCATTAAAACCAGAGCAAGAAGGGTAAAATACAACTTTTCCTAAAGCATCTGCGTTTAAATCTGCACCCCATGAAGTGGACCCACTCACAGATACACAGCTGTTGGGACTTGTTAGCTGTCAGACTGAAAACTGAAGAATGTATTTCTGAAGGTGTGTGTGGTGAAGTGTAAAGTGTAACCGAGAAGAATCGAACGTTCACTGCTATGTGTATTTCTTTCTAGATTCTGTTAGAAGTTGTGTAGCGAAGTTGTTCTTCACCTGCTCCTTGAAGGGTCATTACTGCCTGTACAGCAAATCCAGTTTTATTCTCATCAGCCAAGAACCTCAGCCATGGATCCAGATCATGTTTCTATTTCAGCAGGTGTGTATAAGTTAAGTTCATTGTGGCTCCTTAACGAGTCATGGAGTATGAGTTTATAATCATTTTTACTGACTTTTTCTTTGACCAAAGTTGATATGTAGGTAACAGCAATTCATACACATTTCATCATTAATTTTAATAAGGATATTTTTGTATATTAGGATAATTTTCTTATAAAAAGCTCTAGATTACTTATCAGGAGGCCAACCCTATTAATATCTATTAATAAAAAATGAGAATAAAAGGGAAAATACTTTTTGTTAAACAAACAAGAACAAAAACAGCTTATTGAGGGGAATAGCTTTTCTTATGTAGAGCTAGTCTTTATTATAGTCTATCTCCAATCAACTTGTGGGTCGACACATCCATTTTGACATTGTTAAAATACTGGAATGCTACTTTTTACACACACACACACAAATATATATATATGTGAAATTACATACTGAGAAACTTTTAACAATAAAGAATTTTATGCAAATATTTTAGCATTGAAAGAGATTCTTATTTGGAAATATGTATCTTGAATGCATTACATTTTCATGTAAAATTTGAATATAGATTATAAAGTGTTCGTAATAGAAGATACCTTAGACGTCACTTTTACAGATAAGAAAAGTGAAGGCAGAGTTCAGACCACCTGACTCCTGATCCAGTGGACAATGAGTGGACGCAGGCAGGTGCAGGGAAAAAGGGGGGAAAAACGAAAATTCAAATGTTGTAAGATGCTTAAAAGTTAGGCCAAATGGTAAGATAGTTTATTTGTTTCTATTAATAAAATACTTCTGTAAAAGCCCCTACAAAAGCCACCAACCAGATAGTTATATTTTTTATAAATAAAGACAGCTGAATACATCATGACGGTAAGGTGGAACTATAGTAATTAAGAGACAGCTTAGAAGTGCCTTAAAACTACCACGTTTTCCTCTAAGACTTAATAACATCTCACAGAGAACAACTCACATTTTTATGTGAATCGAGTTGTATTGGAATGCAAAATAAAACCAAACCAAAGAACCAGCCTCGACATTCCTTCCTTTCCATAGAAGAATGACCTTGCTTTACTTACTTTACTTATAGTTTTCAAATCGTTTTCATCAGTGACTTTGTATTTGGTTTGAGCTTTGTTCTTAACAGTCATTAGTTTTCTGAAAACTAACCAGGAAAACTTGCTTTTATTTTTGCCCTTTATCTTATTTTATTGACTTAGCCTGATTCTTTGTCTTCCCTGTTAAGCAAACTCGCCACAAAGCATGTTTCCACTGCTTTTCTTCGGTCACTGTACTGTGATGGTTCCTCTCTGTTTCCACAGCTTTGATATTGTGCAGTCCACAGAAGCCCTGACTTCACAATAGCAATAAAATGTTGGACTGAAAATAAAATCTTTGACTCGATAATTACAAACCCAGCCTTGTATGCTGGACCAGACTCTTTCTCTTCTCTGAATTTAACACACTCGTGTAGCTCTCCATTCACTGATTCAGGTCTAAATGCTTCTATTTGGATTGATGATTAATTAAGTCAGGCTTCCCTTCTCTTTAAATTAAAATATGCTGTACAAGTTTCTGATAATAAACAAGAAATCCCCAGATGTGTCCACATTATGGTTGAATAATCAATTTAACTGTTACAGGCTCTTAGCATTTTTTTCTCTAAATATGTTTTCATTGGTTTTTAGAGAGAGAGGAAGGGAGAGGGTGAGAGAGATAGAAACATTGATGAGGGAGAAACATCATCAATTGGCTGCCTTTTGCACACCCCCTACTGGGGGATCGAGCCCAAAACCTGGGCATGTGCCCCGACTGAGAATCCAACCAGGGGCCTCTTGGTTCATGGGTCAGTGCTCAACCACTGCGGGCTTAGACTTTTTTAATCTGCGGGCCACTTAAAGTATAAAATTCTTCACCTTTCCACACTCAGTTCAAGAAACAGCTCATCTTGATGACAGTAATGATGTATTTCTGGGGAAAAACTTATTTATTTTTATTTACTAAATAGAAACTTTTTATACAAAAACTACCTAGAGAGCCTCATAAGTCAATGCTTGGATGTCATTGCCATGGAAAATAGGATTTTATAAGCCAATATCATTTTATCATACCTCAACATAAAATATAACACATATGGTGTTGTTTGTATATAAATAATATGTTATGCCCTTTGTTGATGTTCTGTATGTTTTTATAAAATTGTTTCCTTAACTTGAAAAGTTCACATTTATAGCTATAACATCACAACATGTAAATGACTATTAAACACATAATTGATTAGTAAATATACAAACTTTTTAAATCTTCTTTGAAAATTTTATTTTCATTAGCTTGATTGACATATATAAATGCGATTTTCTTTACATTAATAATCCTATTATCTAAAACTTAGAATCTCTTAAAGCTCTGGGAGTATTCACCCATTATACACTTAAGGATTTTAAGTGTTTTGTTCCCCACACATCCACTCACACTGTTCATGTTTGAGTATGTGCAAAATGAACACTCAACTATTTAATTTCTAGTCTTCATGATCTACTCTGATTTTGTGCTTTAGATTTAATTTTATACATTAATTCTCAGAGCTTTGAAAAATAAATATAAATATGTATATTAACCATTTCCAATTAGGTAGCATGTTTGGAAAATGATGGAAGTAAATACTATGTTACAAGTTTAGGCATATTTATAGAGATCAGTATCAACTGCCTTGAAAATCCTATTCAATAATTTTAATTTTTCTATTTAAAAATTAAAAGCCTAAAATGCATCATATGTTCAATCTTCAAAATAGATTTCCTTGTTGTTTTATTTAAATTTAAACCATGTTAAAGTTCAAACTGAGCCCAAATAATTCATTGTAGTCAATCAAACAATCTTGTTGAGACAAGAAATAATGTTTTTCTCATTAACGCCCTTTCAGAGCCTGTTTCCCGAGCCCCTGTCCATCCAGAGTCGCTCTGTGCAGTTTCTCAGATCTCTATGGGAGAAGACCCAGGCAGAGGGTGCTCACAGCTTTGAAACAGCCATGATGGAGTCCACATTTCCGCAGCAGAAGGTAAATGCTTCTTTACCAGGATGTGTTATTTTAAACTGAGATTCAAGATTATCTTGGTTGAAACAGTTTGCCTTTTTCTCAACAGTTCAATTGTTTCCTTTTTTCCTTGACCTTCTTTTATTATTATTTTTAAAACACTTTTTAAGTAATATAGCGCCAAATTTCTTGTGGACTTGGTAGAATGATATCGGTAGACAGGGTCATTGCCTATTGTGACTTTGTTAAATTGACATTTGTGAAGTAGAGCACAGGGTGCCAGATGGTGAGCCCCATACAACAAAAGACCCAGGAGAAACTGAAATAGTAAGTGTATTACTCACAGGTCCTGGAGGAAGTACACAGCAGGCCTTGAGGGGCCACTTGGGGAAGCTAAGGGAAGGTGCGGAGAGAAGCAGGATTTGGGGCACATGCCTTTATTTTGCATCAGTGGAGAAAGTGCTTTGGGGTTCCCAGGCTAAGGCTGGATTGTCCAATTCAAATCAAAAAGAATGGGGTTCGATTCCCAGTCAGGGCACATGCCAGAGTTGTGGGTAAATCCCCAGTAGGGGGCGTGCAGGAGGCAGCCGATCAATGACTCTCTCTCATCAGTGATGTTTCTGTCTCTCTCTCCCTCCCTCTCCCTCTCTCTGAAATCAATAAGAAACATATTAAAAAAAAAAAAAAAAGCTTCTGCCTGGAGTGACACATCCCTTTTCAAAGTTCAAAGTTCAAAATTCATTGGCTGAAGCAAGTCACATGGCCGACTCTGACTTCCAGAGGCAGGGAAATGGAATCTTGTCATGTCCCCAGAGTAGAGAAGAGCCAGTTACATTATGGACAGCGCAGGTCCTGCCTCTCCCTCTGTCTGCACCTTCCCTTACCTTCCTCGAGGCCTGCTGTGTACTTCCTCCAGGACCTGTGAGTCACAAACCTAAACATGAATAGCAAGTATTAGAGAACACAATGAAAACATATCATTTAGAACAGCGACCAAATCTATAAGGGATCTAGGAATAATATAAAAAAAGATGTGAAAGTTTCTGATGAAGAAATGTTTTTAACTATTAATAAAAACACATGGTGTTTTTCTTTTAAACCTGGATTAATAGAAAGATACACCCTCCTCATAGCTAGGAATACTCATCGTCACACAAATAAAAAAAATTTCCCAAATTAAAATATAAATACAATTTCATTTTCAGTAATAATAGCAACAAATTTCTTCAAGGAGTTTGACAAACTAATCCTAAATTTGAGAATAACCAAAATGATTCTGAAAAAGAACACAGAGGAGGAAATTTTTCTACTAGGGAAAGAAAATGTATTCTAAAGCTATGAGAAGGTGAGAGCATGATTATTGCTGCAGGGATAAAGTCAGGGTAAGAACAGAGTCCAGAGATAGCCCCAAGCATGTATAGACACTTGCTTGGTAGATATCAAAGGGGGGTTTCAGATTGAGGAAAAAATGAAATATTTTAAAAGTAGTATGGGGACTTTCCAGATTGAAAAGATAAAATCAGATCCCTCCCAGACACTATAGATAAATCAACTCCAGATAGCGGCCTAAATGTAATCAATGAAACCGTAGAACCAGAAGAAAATACCAAGGGCTGCCTTTATGACCTTAGGATAAGAAAGTATTTCTTAAGATCTAAGTGAGCAGAAATCATGAAGCAAATATGAATAACAGATTTGACTACATAAAATATTTAAATTTCTGTATGACAAAACACACCATAACAAAGTTAAAAGGTAAGCACAAGCTGTAAGACGGTATTTGAAATATGTATAACTCATGCACAAAAATCTTCTATAAACCAACACAGAAGAGACAAAGAATCCAAAAGAAAACTCGGCGAAGAACATGAACAGAAATTCACTGAACAGGAAACTCAAATGGTCAAAAATGTAAGATATGTAGACTCACTAAAAATTATTGAAATAATTGATTTTAATTACTAAAAGTGATAACACCATTTTACAGTGATAAAACTGGTGAGAATAAAAAATTGAGACAGTAAAAGTCTTGGCAAAGACATGAAAAAATGAGAATGTTTATACAGAACAGATGTGAATAAAACAGGTTTACCTATTTAGAAAAGAAGTATTTAAGAAAAAATATATGTAATAATTAAATCAGACTCAAAAATAAAAATATATATGTAATAAATATATAATAATTAAATTAGACAGCTAGTTGCCAGTCAATGTGAGAGAGTCAGTAGCTTTCCAGAAGACTTAATTTCATTTGCAACTTATCCAAAAAATACTTAAGCATCACCCCACAAAGGATTCCCGTATCTAATTAACACATTCATTTCCTCACATATTTATCTCCCCGCAGTGAGAACATTTAAGCTCTCTCTTAACAGAGCTTAAGCATTTTATCAGAGATGGTCATTTCTTTTCACGTGGAAGTTTTGTATTATAATGTACAAAAACATTCTGTCCTAGACAAGATTTAAAACAAGTTCTCCTTCACAACCTTTTTAGAAGAGCAATCTGGCAATAGCTGGTTATATTATAAATTCATTGCACTCTTTTATCATGCAATTCCATTTCTAGGTAAAACTCTCACATGCTTGCACTAGGAGACACATACAGATGTTAGCTGAGCACTGTTTGCACCAAAAAACCAGGAGCAATGAAAAGGTACATCAATAGAAGAAAAAAGAAAAATGTTGTAGTATAATCATGCTACACAGGCAATAAAAGAGAATTAATTAGACCTATTTGTAGCAACATGGGATAAATCTTGAAAACATAATATTGAGTTTTAATAAGCAAGTTGCAAGAGTATGACATGCATAGTATGCTAGCTTGCATAAATTTTTTAAAGACACTAAGCAGCACTATGCATTATTTATGGGTACATGTACTTGTGATCAAAATATAGCATCATATTCAGACTCACCCCAAATTCGTGATGGCATTGTTTCTGGGTAACGAGGAAGTGGGGGAAAGAGGGAGAGAAATGTTGCTGAGGAGGAGATTAAGGAGATCTCAATTTCATCTGTAATTTTGTTTTTTAAAAATCAGACAAAACATGAGCACTTGTTAAGTTTGGCTGGCAAGTACATGGGTATTAGTTATATTGTCCATTGCACATGTTTGTCTTTCTTTTTTAAATTTAGTTAAACTTATAACTAATGCCTAAGAGTCTAGGCTTGATAGATTTGACTCCATAAAGTTTATAAAATCCAAAACCTGTCTATACAATAACATGAATGAAAATATGTGTAACAAGGATAAAAGATGAAGTTTAATATCCTTTAGATACTTAACTTCATTCAAATTAATAATCAGTGGGCCAAAGACATGAGCAAATAAGACTTGGAGTCCAGAAATAATATTCAGCCTCATTAGTAGTCAAGATATAAAAACAAATTAAAATAACGTGTCCCTTTTTAATTCATTTTTTAAAAGACAGTAATCAGTGCTGGCTAGATTAAGGGAGTTCAGGCATTCTCACACATTTCTAGTTGAAGTGTAAATTATTTCAACATTCCTAAAAAACAATTTAGCAATGCGGGTCAAGAGTCTTAAAAATACTCATATCCTTTAACACAGTGATTACACTTCTAGGAATTTGTTGAAATTATCTGAAATGTGTACAAAATTTAAGACACACATACCAAAAAAGCATGGTGGAGTGATTTGTAAATAGCCTAGATGTGTAAAGATGGGAGAATGAGAGTGTTTGATAGAAATATATAGATATAAGTATAGATATAGAGCTATATTTAGAGATGGAAGAATTAAAGTAATATATCCATCTATATGGAAGAGTATTAAGGAACCATAAAAACCATGTTTATGGGAAATGTTTAATGACATGAAATAATACGTCAAATACCACATTGCAATATACAAAATTATTTATATAAAGATTATTTGGAGGATTGCCCACTAAAGCAACCAAAAGGAAATATACCAAAATGTTAGCAATGGTCAGCTCTGGCTGATGGGACTAGTATTTTCTAAATCTTCTCTAAGAAGTATGTATTTCTTTTATAACTATGGAGAAAATATTATTATAGAAGTGCCACTTTCAGTTATACTGTTTTGTGTAAGGAAATGTAAATGAGCAGCTTACTTAAAGAAGGACAATTCCATTTTAAGATCATTTTCATTATAAAATAAAGATTTTTTAAAAGGGTAGAAAACTCATTGATTCATTTAAGAAATGGGGAGAATGGCTTCCATGGAGTAACTAGAGATACAATAAATATTTCCACCCTTCAGAGGGTGAGGCGCTCTGATCATCAGAGGACCAGACAGTTGACGAAGTCAGCTGGGGAATTGCTAAAGGACTGGAATTTGAGAGACAAGTCTCCTTTATTGACACACATGTTCCAGTTCCCAAAGCCTGGAGAAATTCCATATGCCATAGAGATGAGGTCTCAAGACTATGCCCATTATGGTAACAAAAAAATTAAATTTGCTGCTGAAATAAAATGGGCCCCATCTGGCTAACATTTGGAGGTTTGTTTTCAGTCCACATTGCTGCAAACACACTTGACAGTTCCCAGGGTAATTGGCAGTTCTGCCCAAGCATAAATAAAACTAAAGCACCAATTGTGTGTGGAACAAAAGGAGACCTGATGCTCCCAAGGCTTAGATTTAGTGTTTTGAGATACACTGTTAATACAGTACTTTAATAAATAAATGCATAAGGAAGTAAATGAGAAATAGGCTTATTATACAAAGGCTGTTATCTATTCAAATTCTTATGAGATATTTAAGGCTACATGTGTGATGTGCGTGAGGAGTGCTGCAGGCCAGCCTCAAGGGAGAGCAGTGTGAATCATGCTGTTTGAGAAGGATTGGCTATGTTTAACTTCCCTTTCAGAGCAAGCTGAATGGGAATGGGGTAGATAAAATTTAGGTTTGGGATTTCAGAAGCTTAGGTGGGGGTGGAGATCTTGGGCTCTATGCTCAGAACCAGGAAACTCTGATGGGCAGAATCTAAAAATCGAAGGTGAGGTAAAGAGATTAAAAGGATGTGTGAATAAGTGCCT